AGGGGGGAGGGAGAGTGGTTTGGAGAGGGGGAAAGGGGAAGGAGAGGGAGAGGGGGCGAGGGGGGGTTTGGAGGGGAGGAGGGGGAAGTAGGAAGAGTGGGGATGGAAGGAGAGATGGAACATGGCTTGGGGTTTAAGGGGAAGAGAAAAGGGAAAATGAAGGTGGAGATTGGGGGGAAGCAGGAGTTAAATGGATAGAGAAGCATCGAGAGACTTTTGTGTGGTTAGCAAGTTTCAGGAGCTTACGAGCTGATGCTGAATTGCTCATAAATGAAGATTAAGCTGGTGGCTGCATTACACTTGCGGAAATGACTCAACATTTGAACTATTATGCGGAATTCACATGCATTCAACTTTTAACACATAGCTTGAAAAATTATTCACTTCCGACACTGCAGTGGCGCCAACATTAAAAAATTAAAAATATAATTTTTTTTAGGGTGTGACCCGACTTGAGTCCCGCTCAATCGCCTAAAAATTAAACCACGAATGTCAGATCATTATATTGGAAGGAAAATCGTCGCCCAAGGCTCGAGCATCGAGCATCGTCTCTTTCGTCATCCATTTAGGGTTTTTCATTGCTTTCTTGAATCAGATAGCTTAAGGTTTAGTGTTGTAGTTCGCCGGGCGAAGTACATTCATCACTTCTCCTTACCGAGTAGCTTAAGAAGATGAAAGTCGAGCCTAAACGGATGGAAATGGAAGAAAATCCTATGAGAACTAAAATCGAAGGGCCGATGAAAATGGAAACTGAAAAGCCGTCGAAAATGGAGATTGATGAGCACAAGAAAAATGAAGCCAAAGAGTTTAAGAAGAATGACATCCAAGACGGTTCATCTAGGTAATTTTTCCTTTTTGAGGTTGTACTTTCATTGAAAAGATTATGTTAACCAAGTTTAGAAATTCATCCTACAGTGTTCGGAATAGCCACTTAAATAAGTAATAGTTGTGTTTATCTAAAAACCCAAAAAATAATCACTCATATATTATTTTCAGACTAATTTTTTTAGCTCACTCAATCTTAATATATATATTTTGTAGTATGAATTTGAATGAGTAATATTTGAGTAGTATTTGACCATAATAATAACATAATAATATCATAATAATCCTAAATAGTACCAAAACAATATCTGAATTTATTAAATAATATCAAACTAATCTAATAATCAGACCAAAATCATATTGAATTAAAACACATAACTTCACCTAAATAATACCATAATAATATCTTAATAAGATCAGAACATTATCTTAAGTTGTGAAATAACTGCATACTAACACCAAACTAACACTAGAGTCACACTGAAATCATATCGAAGTAATACACAGAAAACCACTGAAATAATATCATAATAATATCATAATAATACATGAACAATACCTAAATTTGTTAAATAAAACCAAACTAACACCACAGAACAACATCAAAATAATATCATAATAATACATAAATAATAATAGAACAATACCTGAATAATATTATAATAACACTTAAATATCAACTCAATAACACCAAAACAAAATCTCTCTACATAAATCGTCAACCCTAAACACCCTAATAAAGACTAAATGACACTGAAATAACACCTTAATAATGACTAAATGACAGTTAATATTTGTTGCATTATATTTGCTTTTTAGGTTTGTGAACCCAAGATCCATGAGTTATAGATGATCGGTCATCCGTAGTAAGAGATGTGCTTGAAAATAATGAATGTTGATCAATTTTTTGAGCTCCCTCCTTATCCTCAAAATAATGTCCTGACACTGCAAATATTGCAATATTGGCATTATGAAAGCGTGGTATTCAGAATGAGAGGGAAAGAGCTAAGAATAAATGTCTGATGAAATCTTCCTGCTTATCCACATGTCTAATAGAGGAGAAGATCCAAAGTGTAAAAAAGTTTCATCTTGTGGTGTGGATGTCCGACAAATGAATAATGATATTTTTAACTTTGCAACCAAAGAGTCTTCTACCTCTTTTGATCAATTATTTTTAAATTTTTTATCAAATTTAATTTTTTATTCTAGTAATTTTAGGGTACCCAAAGGCCTTTACACCTTTTGGTGAGAATGTACAAACTTTCTCCTCATTTAATTGGTCTGTTGAATTTTTCATTGAGCAAATTAATGCAGTAGTCATCAAAATAAGGTGAAACCGGCCTTTAGGATATATCAACGGTTCTCTTTTTTTGCTAACGGTCAGTATCTCGTATAAGCCTCACAAATTCTTTTTTTTTCAAAGCTAAATATTACTTATATTTTACACAGCTTTGGTTTTATGAGCACACTTTTTTGGTCACTATTGCCGCTCCTGAGGCCAGACCTCAAATGTTGAAGTGGCCAACAAACTTAAGTTGGAATTTGTCACAGATTGATATAGCCTTTAAGAGGCTCAACATTGAATAGACAAGACATTTACATTATTAGATGTTACTTAGACATCATTTAGATGTCATATATGTGTTACATTTAGTTGTTATGTAAAAATAAATCCTAATGTTATTTTTTGGAGTTTTAATTATTAAAGCATTTATTTCTAAAATAAATTGTAGGTTTGTGATCAATTTTTGGATTTGAAAAAGGATGAGCGCAATTTGCTCGCCAATCTAGATGAAGGACTACCTAGTCTAGCTTCAGCGATGCAATTCCAAAATCATGAACCTCAAGACAGACCACATTCACGTGTATCATATGATACAGGGCTAGTCGTTTGTGGCGACATCGCCTTAAAGCCAGCGTACACTGCATTGAGTAAAAACTTGGAAGTAATAATTGAGCTGCTTAAAAGCCAGGAGAAATGGTTTACAAAATTTCAAGGAACAATGAATACAATCTAAATGTAGGAGTGTCGGGTCTACAAGAGCAAATGTTTGAACTAGAGAACAAGTTTGAGAAATCTGAAAAAGATAAAACTGATAAAGGCAAAGTGTTGGAAGAATATTATGCCCAGCCACCCTCCCATCATGATGAAAAGAATGAGTTTAACGATCTAGGAGCCCACCAATCTTCTCCTGATGGAATCTCTCTTGTTGACGTAGATAATGAGTTCAAGAGAGAGCCCATCAATCCTCTCCTGTTGGAATCCCTCCTGTTGACGTAAATAATGAGTTCAACGAAGAGAAAAGCCACAAACCTCCCATGTTGAAGAAGACATTGTTGACTCCCATGAACACTTCATTACTAGCATAATCCAAAGGGTTAAGGGCAGACGAAGTAGAAGAAATGAGAAATTGAGTTCCCCTTTCACTGATTTTAATTTGAAGAGAAGAAAAACAATAAGGGACACCGTTGAGCAACATCTCTTGATGAACAAATAACAAATGTAGCTGTAGATACTGATGCCGGTAGGAGAGACCACCAAACAATTACAGAAGAACTAATAATAGATAGTTTAGCCATTAAAGAACAATCGATTGTAGATACTTCAAACAATATTATAGATAGAATTGTTGAGATTGGTCTGCAAACAATTATATCACATGTTGTACATACCACTCACAGTGGAAAAGAACAATGAATAACTGAACATGAAGAAGTAGAAGGAACAATGGAGGATTTTCAGGCATTAGCTCTGACATTGACAAGTTTAGGAGATCTACCAGAAAGTGTCCATGAAGAGGATCATGCGATAGTGGTATTTAGAAATGCCTTTCTATACAATGTCTTATATCATCTAAATTGATTACATACTTCAAAAGTGTTTTTTGTTTTTAGCCTTGCTTAGTAGACTCCCAGATCAATTTTCCTGACAGATCGTTGGTATCCATTAAAATGCAGGTAGTGATCGATCAATGTGTGTCAAAATACAATAATACGTGAGTAAATCTTCACCTTCAGTAATGCATTGCTTTTGTTTTATATTAAAGTTTCACAAAGATTTTGTGTTATTTTGTAGGAAGGATATTATGATAAATACTAGAAACATTTTAATAGATCGCAGTACAATCAAAGATTTACTATGCAATGATTGGATTACAAATGATCATGTTGATGCCTCAGCTGTCATTTTGAATAGAAAGATGAATGTTGTTTCATCTTTATACATGTCTTATCTATATGTATCGTCATTATACTAGGTAATCATTGATTCAATATAATTAAACTTTTAATATACTATGAAAATATTAAAAGTGTGTCTTTTCATGCAAATGTATCATAAAATGGGTAACACCTTAGCGTTTGTACGCCATATCACAAAGGAGGAGGTTAAAAAGATGGACATTATCTTGTTTCCTATTGTGCATAACCAACACTGAATTTTATTGGTTGCAGAGTTGAATGAAAGGAAGTGAAGAATATACGATTCATTACCCAACCAGATGCACAAGGCCGTGTGCCACGACGTTGTAAGTATACTCCACATAATTTATCGATCCCATTCAGCATTATATATACACTATTCAGTATCACATTAAAATTTGTAGATTAATCAATTTGCAAGAGATGTTGTAAAATCTTTAAGGGGCAAACCAGCAAAATGACCACTCTCAATCGTTGAAGGTGTTCTCGTTCAAAGTAATAATATTAATCACGACATCTTTGTCTGCAATTTCATGGAAAAATTAGTACAGTCCTGCAGATATGATTGGAGTAAGGAGCATGGTTGCAGGCAGACATGTCGAGATTTAGGGCAAAGTTAGCCCATGATATTTGTATGTGGGCATTGTCTCTTAGTTAAAAGATAATATAGTGGAATATTGTTATTTGATTAATTAGAGTAATAATGAGAAGTATACAAGTTTCTTACAATTAAATTCTCCTTAATAAGAAGCTTTGGCATTATGATAAGCTCTAGCATTACAGTTATAAGTTTCCTAAAATTAGGTTGACTAATATTGAAGAATTTTTTAAAATCTACAATTCCTATAATGGGAAGCTCTGACATTACATTCTCTAATGTCTTTGCTTC